ACCATTTGATAATTGACTTTCTCTGTTTGACTTATTTCGCTTAGCATAATCTCCTCCAGTCCCATCCATGTTGATGTAAAAGTTAGGTATTCATCCTTTCTGATGGCTGAGTAATATTCCATTGTATATTTGGACCACATCTTCTTTATCCATTCATCTGCTGAAGGGCATCTGGGCTCTTTCCACAGTTTGGCTATTGCAGACATTGCTGCTATGAACTTTGGGTTGCATATGGCCCTTCTTTTCACTATAACTGTGCCAGAATGGATTTAGAACACAGGTCACCACAGCCACTCAAGGATATGATGGATACTCATTTGGGGGCCTCCAAACCATTATTTAGCTCTGCTTATTCTGGCCCCCGAGGAGACAATGATCTGTTTGTCCACCAGGCCTTCCTCATTAGAAAAATGGCCTTTTATCTCAGAGGCCCAGGATCTCTGTGTAGAAAGAGAACTGACCATTGTCCTGGAGCCCCTTACCTTTTCCACAGTAACTTTGAGGTCAACTTATCTTGACTTCTCCTCTTTCTCAACCTGATCCCTCCTCCTAGACTCCTTCCTATGACTGGCCAAGAGATGCCCTTTAAAGGGGTTCAGGTGGAGTGTGATCTTGTGCAGTGTCTCCCAAACTATGGTCTCTCAGCACAGCATGGCAAGAACTAAGGGAGATTGTGTATTCCCTAGAAGGAATCAACCTAAAATCGAATGCTGTGATTTTGTCTATTTTAAGGGTCAGACCCAGGAACAAAACTGATGGCTGAACACATCCTTAGTTCTTGCCATGCACCCTAAACAGAAACCAGCCTACAAGACTCCCTTCATGAGCTCCCACTGCTGTCAGAGTAAAATCCAACTGCAATCTGACTGCAGCCAAGTGCACCAACCACCGAATATGCTCCTACCTCTCGGCCCTCTGTCTCATCCTCCCATAGCCCAGGCTCTTTGTCTCCTCAGAGGCTTTGACATTGCTGTTCCTGCTGTCTGAAAAGTCTTCTTCTGGCTCCTTAAAAGGATGGCTTGTTCTCATTCTTCAGAAGGTCACAGCTTAGATGTCACCAACTCAGGGAAGCCCTCACTGGCCTCTCTAGGTCATCCCCCCTCATTTATTTCACCAACCACCTTATTTATTAATTCCTTCACTGGACTCACAACAATCTTCCTCTTGTTCTTTGCTGGCTCCATTTGTGAATTGCTGGCTCCATTCACTTCCTTCTGGTTGAGGACATTGCCTGTCCTGAACACTACTGTAGTCTCGGCCTTCAGTAGATATTTGTAGACTGAATGAATGAAAGTGTAGAAGAGGGTTCCTCAGCACAGGGGTAGCCGTGCATCTCTGCAGCTCCTCATTCAATGATTCAATGTTAAAACCCTGAATTTTTTACACGGGAGGAATTTACACCATGGAGATCGGCAAACGCTACAAATCCATGCTTGATGTATTGTTTTGTTGACTGTCAGACTTAAGTTATGAAGGAAGTGTAAATAACATCGGTAAAAACTCAAAGTGTGTCCTATCTGTAGCTACTCTATTGTCAACAGCACAGAAAACTGAGAAAATACTCATGTCTTTATATGTCTTTTTTTTACCCATGAAGAGCCAGTTACCAGCACACAACTGGCTTGGACATCGCCAGTATTTGCAATACAGTATGACAAGAGCTATGATAATGTACATGCAAAGCAAGGATTTATCAGGAAATAGGGAGCAATAGCTTCACCTGGAGCAATTGGGGAAGGCATTATAGAGGAAGTGACTTCAGTTTTATCCGAAGGAAAGAAGGAGAAGTTTTCAAGTTAAATACCATGGGGATGAGAATTCCAGGAAAAGAATCCACAAAGATCATAAAACATTTTGTGCAAATTCCACACCCTGCTTTGTTTGTTCTGTTATTGGCCTTTATGTCAGGGGAATCATGATGTATATATTCTTCTATGTCTTGGTTTTTTCAATTAGCATCATATTGTTGGATTTCATCTGTTCATTCATTTTTACTGCTTATAGAGTTTGACATTGTATCCACTTACTGGTTTATTTATTCTTCTACTGTTGATGTGCATTTGAAAACGTACATAAACTTTTAATAAAGTAAATCATATTACAAACAAGTCATATTTATCATTTCTTTTTTCTTTTAAAGATTTTTTATTTATTTATTTGACAGAGAGAGACGCAGTGAGAGAGGGAACACAAGCAGGGGAAGTGGGAGAGGGAGAAGCAGGCTTCCCACTGAGCAGGGAGCCCGATGCGGGGCTCGATCCCAGGACCCTGGGATCATGACCCGACCCGAAGGCAAACGCTTAATGACTGAGCCACCCAGGTGCCCCATACTCATCATTTCTTAATTAGTGATCACTTCATTTTACTATTTTGGGTTGCTTGTTTCAGGTTTTTTTTTTTTTAAGATTTTATTTATTTATTTGAGACAGAGAGAGAAATAGCAGTAGTGAGAGGGGCAGAGACAGAGGGAGAGAGAGAATCTCAAGCAGACTCCACGCTGAGCACGGAGCCCAGTGGGGGACTCAATCCCAAGACCCTGAGATCGTGAGGCGAGCCAAAACCAAGAGTTGGACGCTTAACCGACTGAGTCACCCACGCACCCCCTTGTTTCAGGTTTTTGACTATAAAACAATGCTGCCATGGGCATTCTTCTATGTGTGTCTTGTACATGTGCAAGAATAGCATACCTCCCTACAAGCGGAACTGCTGAGTCATAAAGCATGCAGGCACGTTTACAACTTTACTTCGGGGTGTCCCCTCTTTTTCAAAGGGGTTGAATCACGAGCAGTCTGCCAACGTTTTTATTATACCACATGCTACTACTGACACTTGCTATTGTCATATTTTTTAATTTTTGCCCATCTGATGGGTGTAAAATGGTTTTGCATGGTCAGTTCAATTTGCTGTTTCTTTGTCTGTCATGAGTTTTGTTATTTAGCAAATTTTCCAAACGGCCCAGCTGTTCTGGCCCTGGTGTTTAAGGGAAATAAATTACCCCATCTTTTCTTATTATATAAGAAATTGTATGACTCACTTTATTATGCCCAGGTGATATGTTTGCCAGCCACTAGGTATCAAAAATACCTTCATGTCCTAACCTGAATTTGGTTTTTAGTCATGCAATGCTGATTCTGTTAGTCAGTTTAAATTAGATATTTGGGAATTCCTTCAGACAGGGTAAGTCTACTTCAATGGGCTTTTGGACCTTCTCTCTCCCCCGAGGGAGAGAGAGAAGTATGTGGTACCATTAATTTATTCAGCATTTTGAGTATATCAGGCGCTGGGAATCATTAAGAACACAGCCCCTACACTTCTGGAATTTGCATTCTAGTGGCACATACGAGTAGTCTAGCTCAACTCCCTTTCCCGTCTCTCCACGTCCCTGGGCCCCTCATTCATTCAACCAGCATTACTGAGCACAGGCTCTGGGCCCTGGCGTTGTGGGACGTGTCGGGGCTACCTCTGGGGAGCCATTCTCCTTACATGTGCTGCCTCCAGGACCGCTGCCTGGCAGTTGGTTTCAAGGCTAGCCGAGGAACCATGAGTCCCGTAAGGGAGGAACTCACTGGATCGCGCTTTGGTGTTAGCCACGTTAAGCAGCCATGTTTTTCAAACTGCAGTTTACCTGCAATGAGAGACACTTCTCAATGTCTGTTGATAATGCAAATTCCTGCACCTTTACTCAATGAGCTGCTGACTCAGCAGATGTGAGAACTCTGCACCTTCCCCAGCTCTTCGAGAACTTTGATGGCTGACGTTCGAAAACCACTCTCCCCCTAAAGTCACGCAGCTAGAAGATGGTAGAGCCGAGAGGGCATAATTCACAGATATAAAAGCGCAGATCAGGCCCCACGCCCAGGACGTGGAAACCCCGACATTGCGGCTCCCTGTGCAGTATCCTTGGCCCTAAGGAAATGCGCGCAGACAGAATCTAAAGCGGGCTGCACTGTGCCCGCCGTGCTGAGGTTGGCTCAGCGGGCCAGTCAGTGACCTTAGCTGCTGGGGTGCTAAGTGCTGCAACGGCCACTCCACACACTTCTGGGCATTTGTCCAGAGAGAGAACACACATGCTAAAACATTCCAGTCCCTAGATGGCCCCTCTGGGTGGTTAATGGCATCGATTTACAAACACAGCAGGTTGGAGCCCCACTGGCTCCCAAAAGGAATCTCGCTGAAGAGCAAAATAACACACAAAATGGACTCAAACACGAACAGCTGGGAGAAGTGACCTCCTTAGGCCTCAGACACGGAGGAGGGCGTGTTACCTCCTGAGTTCCTGCTCAGAGGAGGGGAGGATCCCTCCCCCTCAGCAGGTGCTCCATAAATACCAGCCATGTGCTTGGAAGATGGGTGACAAAGAGCTGAAGCACTGGGGATGGGAGGCTGTGGGAGGAGCAGGGGAACGTAGGGCAAGCAGCCACAGGGAGTGAAGGTGGTCTAACTCACATCAAACTGGATATCTGTGTAGCTGGCTGTCTATATGTTTTGTAAAGCATTTTTACTTTTGTTAGCCCATCACTCTGCTTGGAAAGTTTCTGCCTGGTTGACAGTCCTGCCTTCTCTCAGCTTGCAGGGGGAGGCTTTTAAATAAATATCCCCTCCTCTATTTCATCATTCTGTTTGTCTCCCTCCGAGCACGTGCCACATTCAGTAATTATCTTATTTACGCCTTTCCTGGCTGTCTCCTCGCTCTGGAAGTCAGGCTCCAAGAGGGCAGGGGCTTGTTTGTTTAGCAAGCTGTCTTGTTTAGCACCGTATCCCAACACTGGACAGAGCCGGCACACAATTTTTATTAAAGAATGAGCAGTGATTCTAAGGCAGGAGTCATTTAGATGAATTGCTGGGGCACAGAGAGAGGAAAGTTTGCCACCTAACCCTGAACACCTGGTTAGTGTGTTAGTGGCAAAATCTGTTACAGAATCTGAGGTCTCTAGCTCCTAGTCCAATAGTTTGCAGGAAGCCAGCACCTGTCCCCGTCCTGCAAAGGAAAGAAAACTCACCGACATGCTTGCAGGAGAGAGAAATGAGGGCGAGCCAGACACAAGCCCAAATTCAGTGCCAAAGTTTGTCCTCTCTATAAGCAGTGTTTCCAACTGATTTCCAACTCTGTGCTTGGGACCTGGGGCGGAGGAGAGAGAGAGTTTGGGTCCAGGCTGAGCCGCACCCAAGGGTGCATCCTCATGCACCAGCATCACTTCCTGCCTGAGCCTCGCTAGGACCTGAGGTTAGCTGTGACTGTCTTAGCTTGGACTAGTTTAATAACATACCACAGACTTTGTGACTTCAACAGAAATTGATTTCCTCACAGTTTCGGAGGCTAGACGTTGGAGATCAGGGTGCGAGGATAGCGGGGTCCTGGTGAAGACCCTCTTCCCGGCTTTCAGGTGACCATCTTCTTGCTGGATCCTCACATGGGGGAGTGTGGAGGGGAAGACGTTGGTCTCTTCCTTTTCTTAGGAGGGCACTAATCCCAGCATGGAGGCTCTTACCTTAATGACCTCATTTCCACCTAATTACCTCCAAAGGCCCCACCTCCTAACACTATGACATTGGAGGGTTAGGGCTTCACCCTATGAATTTTGGGGTAACACGAACATTCGATTTATAACAGGGACCCAGGAAGTGGCAGCCTCGGGGCAAAGAGGAACCAAATGCGAATCTTCTGTAATCTTTGGCCAAAGCGGTAAGAGGAGAGAACAGGAAGTGAGCAGGGAGATGGAGAATTCCTCCTGTGGGTTCGTTGGCAAGGGCCCTCCGATGGTTCCCATGGGTTTCCTGGGCTCCCCAGACACCACTGGGAATGAAGGCTGCTCAGCTGGACCTCATTAGCGGGCCTTGTTTTCCATTCCAGTTTGCTGCTGACCTGGCCCTGGTTAGCATGCTGCCCCAGGCTGGGAAAGAGCAGGGCACCACCTCATGCTGAGTCACCCAGCTCAGGGACCAGGAAACTTACATAACGAGCCTGATTCCAAGTGTTTGTACATCAGACTTAAGCTTCAGGGACAGAAAAGAAGGAAGTGAGCCTGGGGGCAGTGATGGGGGCATGGGAGGGGGAAGTCCTGGGGGCCCTGGGGTCTGGTGGTGCCAGGAAGTCGTTGTGGCCCCAGGAGATCGCGAGAGCTCACGCACGCACGCAGGACATGGCAGGACTCCTCGGATTACAGATGCAGATGAACAAGAATGGCCACACGTGGGATTTTAGTTTTCCATCAGTAAGGCACCGGTCCCGCGCAGCCTGTTCTCGCCGCCTGGGGAATGTGAAGCCAGTCCAAAAAGAACACAGGTGGCAAATGAGGAACTTCATAAAAATGTGAACTCCTGAACTGTCTAAGCAATGTCTTTGGGGTACTGTCACCGACACAAGAGATAGCACTGCAATGACATAGGACAGTGTTGTCTGGAGAGGGAAACAGCCCGTGGGCTAGGAAAAATGTGAGTGGGTGGCCGTTTGAACTTTGCTGCAAAGCTCCTTTCAATCAAGACCCCTTTACAGATGAAGATTAAGAGACTGGCTATGGTAGGAGACATTCCTGAGAACTCGTGGATACTTTCCTTTGTAAGAATATTTTTCTACCCTAGCCCTTTGATTGCTTCTGGAAAAGCAGCCTTGCAAAACCCTGCCCACCCCCCACACATACCCTATAAGATGTGTCAAAGGAAAGTTGTCTACAGAGGAAGCAAATCACTTTCCCACCATAAACTGAGTGTCCATTGCTTTAGTCGGACTTTTTTCAACATGCACACAATTTCTTGGCATCTGGGTACAAATAAAGTGGCATGATGTTGTACAATTTCAGCTCTGGATAGAGTGAGAAAAGAACCACCCTCAGAGTGAAAAAGACCTGAGTTGAAGCTTGGATCCACATTCGATCATCTTCCTGTCTATCTGAGCCTCAGTTTCCTCCTCTGTAAAATGTGGTGGTCATACTACCTAACCTCTTGGGTCTCTCTGAAGGCTTTTAAAGAAGCACTCATCAAGATCTTTGGATACTCTAAATTTCTGGACAAACATTTGTTAGTGCTTCTTATTAATTTTTTTAATGGTTAGAAAATGAGAGAAAGGACAGAAAGTGAAAAGAGGTATCAAAAGGACATGTTGTTATTGTTTTTATTAATAACTTCTTGGTCTCTCACACACACACACACAAGAATCTGAAAAAAAACTAAAACTCTAGGAGAAAAATACACTTTGTTACCAAATTTTCACATAATTTCAGGTTTCTAGATATTCTGAGGGCTAATATAAATCTCAAAATAAAAGTTCTATAATGTAAAGGATTAGTGCTCAAAAGGCCCACGCCTGCCTTTTGGGAATCCACAGGAGGCAAGGAGACACCAACCCTGAAAATCTTCAACCACACCAACACGCTCCACTAAGGGACAAACACCCTTCCATCCCTGTCTCAGAAGCCAGAGATGACTTCTGGGAACTGAACTGTGAATCTTTGCATAGTGTAAGGCTGGAGCTGGGAGGGGTGTCTCCACTTGTCTGGTGGCTGGACCCACTTTCTTGCCCATTGCCTGGACGGTGTGTCAGGGAGGATGGGCACTGAGTATAGATCTCTGCGCACTGCCTGACCAAGAGAACGGCGACTGCGTGCTAAGGAGGGAGCAAGGAAAATGCAGGCAATGTTTCCATCACCAAATGCTTCTGCAGCCTTGCGCTATGGGGTGAACCAGAGATTACAGAGGCAGTGAATTCTACTCACACACCCATGACTGTGAACCCTGAGCCTAGACCAGCCCTGGGAGACAGTGACCAGGTCCTTCAGACCCCAGAGCATAAGACTTTGCACCTTTATTCTGCAAAGTCCCTTAGAAGTTGGACTCAGTGCCCCTTCTCCATCACTCTGTGTTACCTTCTCAATGGCTCAACAAGAAAATAACTGAGCTTAATCTACTAAGGCTAAGAGGAAGGAAGAGAGGTCTGGGTAAGGGTCGAATCAGAGCAAATACTTTTGCCTGCAGTGCATTCATCATGAGCTTATTCTTAGGGCAAGACCCAAGAGAGGACTTTCATTTGGCAGAGAATACGGGATGTATTGGCAGTGTGGTCTCACTGCTTCCCCTGAATGCCAAATGTTTCCTTCAGGGCTTCCTCCTTTAAGTCATGGCTTCAAAAACATTTGTGGAAATGTGTTGATCGTGTCTAAACAGCTCCTTAAATACCAACATTAATGGATTCAAATTTTATCTATCAGATCAACTAGCAAGAAACAGAAGCTTAAGAGAATGGGGCACAGGGGCACCTGGGGGGCTCAGTCAATTAAGCATCCGACTCTTGATTTCAGCTTAGGGCATGATCTCAGGGTGCTGAGATGGAGCCCCAAGTCAGGCTCTGCACTTGGCATGGAGTCTGCTTGTCCCTCTCCCTCTGCTGCCCCACCCCCCTGCTTGAGCTCACTCTCTCTCTGTCTCTGTCTCTGTCTCTCTCTCTCAAATAAATAAATAAATAAATAAAACAAGGAAGGAAGGAGGGAAAAGAAAGAGAGAGAGAGAAAGAAAAAGAAAAAGAAAGAAAGAAAAAGGAAAAGAAAGAAAGAAAAGAAAGAAAGAAAGAAAGAAAGAAAGAAAGAAAGAAAGAAAGAAAGAAAGAAAGAAAGAAGAAAGAAAATGGAGCACTGGATAGTTAGAAAACTGGGAAGAAACTGGGCTGTGGAACAGGTATCCAGAAGTGATGATTGGGGTGGGGCTCTGGAAGGGCTTGAGGCATTGAGCAAAGTTCACTGGATGCCTGAGGAAGCAGGCTGTGAGGTGAGAACATCACCATCACATCATCATACACAACAATTACTGAGCGCTTTGCTGTGTAAAAACTCTGCTAAGCAGCTGGGACACTTTTCCTCATTTCAGACTCACAGGGCCACAACCTTATGAGGCAGGTACCACTATCGGTACAATGGCAATGAATAATTTGCTAAGGATGGCACAGGCTAGAAGGAAGGAGATTAACCCTCAAGTCATCTGACTCCATCTGCCTTTTACATGCACGCGAGTACCATCTCTATGCTAGGGGCTCCCAAAGATAGAACCTCTGGCCCAGGCATCTCTCCTGACTGTCAGACTCCTGATCTCTTTAAAAGAAGAAGGAGGAGAAGGAGTTTTCCAGGACTCCTCACTCAACACTTGCACCTCCAAAAGCTATCTCAGATACAACATGTTTAAGTTGCCTACTTCCCCAAACAAAACAAAAACCTCTAACATGCATGGTGGTTGCTGTTTCAACTAATGGCAACTTAATCCTTCTAGTTGTTCAGGCCAAAATCCCCAGAATCAGCCTTGACTCCTCCCCTTTCTCTCAGATCACACATCCAAACCATCAGGAAATACTCTTGGCTTATCTTCAAAATGCATCCAGAATCTGACCCCTTGGTACCACTTCTTTTAGTATGACCCAGCATCTTCTCTCTTACCCAAATAATAGTAAGAGCCTCCTATTTGGTATCCCTGTTCCTACCCTTGTAACCCTATAATTTATTCTTAACACTATAGCCAGAGTGATCACCACCTTTTTTTTTTTTTTTACCATTTTAATGTGAAAAAAACTCACAAAGATACAAAAAGCTACAAACAAATGTCTAGTTTAACAAATCTGTATGAGGTAAACACCCTTGCAATGACCACCCAGACCAAGAATGTGATGGGCCACCCTAGGCCTCCCTCCACGTGCCCCATCCCAAACACACAGTCCTTCTGTGCCCCCAACACTAAACATTATCCTGACTTGTATAGCCCTCGCTTCCTTGTGCTTCTTCATGGTTTTATCATTCACATGGGCATCCCCACATACCACAGCTCAGACTTGCCTAATTTTTAAAACCTGATGTTTTCTGAGTCTCTTTTAATCTACAGGATCCCCTCCATCACTTTCTTTTCCTTCTTTTTTTCCTGTTGAAGAACCTGGGCCGTGTGACCTGCATACTCTCCCATAGTGTGGGTTTTTATAGATTGAACACGTTCCTCTGTCCTCTTGATGTCCTGCACATTGAAAGATGGATGTTGGGATGTCTGGGTGGCTTAGTCGGTTAAGTGTCTGCCTTCAGCTCAGGTTATGATCCCAGGGTCCTGGGATCCAGTCCTGCATTGGGCTCCTTGCTCAGCAGGGAGCCTGCTTCTCCCTCTGCCTGCAACTTGCCCTGCTTGTGCACTCTCTCTGACAAGTAAATAAATAAAATCTAAAAACAAAACAAAAGAAAAACCCTGAACTGTTTAAAAAAAAAGAAAGAAAGAAAGCTGGAACCAGAGTCAGATCAGAGTCTGGTCTGATTCTTTTGGCAAGCTGTGGTATATTCTTTCAATAGGAAACACATAAAGTCTGGCATTCATTCTTTTTGTTTTATTGTTGTTTTGTGTTTTTTTAAAGATTTTATTTATTTATTTGAGAGAGAGAGAATGAGAGAGAACACATGAGAGGGGATAGGGTCAGAGGGCAAAGCAGACTCCCCGCCGAGCAGGGAGCCCGAGGCGGGACTCGATCCCAGGACTCCGGGATCATGACCTGAGCCGAAGGCAGTCGCTTAACCAACTGAGCCACCCAGGCGCCCTGTTTTATTGTTTTTAATAAACTTCATTTCTTAGCTTTCACTCTTTTTGATGTTAGCAATCGATGATGCTCATTGCCTAGACCCGTTAATTCATTAGGGTTTGCAAAATAGGCATATCCTAATTGCATGATTTTGTTTCCATTTATTAGGTGGAATAATTGTATGAGATGTTTCTTTCCATTAGTATTACAGTTTTCATAGGATAGGCAGGATATGTGCTTGGTTCTTCCCATTTATTTCCTTGGTTTTCAAGATAATGAATTGATTTCCTGTCATCCTCAAAAACTGACCAATTTTTGTGTCGTGTGTGTATAATTGCAAACTCGTAGATTTAAACATATATCATGAGTTTCAATTCTTCGTATTTCTTATCCTTACTGAAGCTCAAAAATGCTTACATTTATCAGAAATTCCAACCAAGTTCACTGAAATGAAAAGATGTTTATGACCCTTTAGTTTTCATCTTAGATTTGTGACTTTTTCCCCCATTTATTTGTCTGCCAATAATTATCCAAGTTGAAGAGGCTCCTCTGGAAGAAAATGCTTTATTTTATCCAAATTTTGGCCAATAAAAGCTTCTTCAGGGGTGCCTGCGTGGCTCAGTCGTTAAGCGTCTGCCTTCGGCTCAGGTCATGATCCCAGAGTCCTGGGATCGAGTCCCACGTCGGGCTCCCTGCTCAGCAGGAAGCCTGCTTCTCCCTCTCGCACTCCCCCTGCTTATATTCCTGTTCTCACTGTCTCTGTCTCTGTCAAATAAATAAATAAAATCTTTAAAAAAAAAAAAGAAAGAAAGAAAGCTTCTTCAAGATGAATTATTTTGACATGATCTTAGCAGTCTGTGGTGGGTTGAATAGTGTCCTCCCAAAATCTGTGCCCACCCAAACCCTATGAATGTGACCTTATCTGGAAACAGGGTCTTTGTGGATGTAATCAAATTAAGATGAAGTCATTGAATTAGGGTAGGCCTTCAATTCAATAGGACTGGTGCCTTTATAAGAAGGGGGACATTTGGACACACAGACACACAGGAAATACGTCATGTAGAGGCAGAGATTGGAGTAATGCATCTACCAGCCAAGAATTGCCAGCAATGACCAGAAGGTAGAAGAAAGGCATGGAACAGATCCTCCCACAGAGCTTCCCTAAAGAACCAATCTTGTTGACATCTTGATTTCAAATTTCTAGCCTCCAGAACTGTGAGAGAATAAATCTCTATTGTTTTAAGCATTCCAATTTGTCATACTATGTTATGGTAACCCTAGGAAGCTAAAACATAGCCTTTGATAACTTTTTCACTCCCTGGTATGAAAAAAGTTTCTTGGCTCATCTTGGCTATTTTGTGGCCCAGATCTGGAGTGTTTCTTTAACATTTTAGTAGACAGAACTTGGGGGGGGGATAAACATATGTGAAGATAAAATGAAGGTAAAATTCTCATGAATGCATAATGATATTTCCAGTTCAAATTCTGAGAGTCCTATTTCTCAAGGACTTAGGGAAAACAGAATATCCTACAAAAATTTACTTGCTTTTTCTTATGTTATAAATACAACAGTCTCAGAATACCAATACTACCACCACCAGTTTTGATTACTAAAACAATTTTAAAATTTTGGTCATATTATTCTTATTCTCCCACTTTTTAAAAAATGGTTATACTAAATCTACATTGTCAGAACATATAGCTATTATATATACTATGGCCTATGTCTTTTAACTCTCATTTAATCTAATTCTACAGGTAACTACATATTTAATACTAACAGTTCTTAGGCTGATTATTCTCAAGTCATGCTGTTGTCTAAAGTACATTTTTATTCAATAAATGGTGCTGGGAAAATTGGACAGCCACATGCAGAAGAATGAAACTCGACCATTCTCTAACACCATTCACAAAGATAAACTCAAAATGGATGAAAGACCTCCATGTGAGACAGGAATCCACCAAAATCCTAGAGGAGAACATAGGCAATAACCTCTTTGACATCGGTCACAGCAACATCTTTCAAGATACATCTCCAAAGGCTAGTGAAACAAAAGCAAAAATGAACTTTGGGGACTTCATCAAGATAAAAAGCTTCTGCACAGCAAAGGAAACAGTCAACAAAACAAAGAGGCAACCCCCAGAATGGGAGAAGATATTTGCAAATGACACTACAGATAAAGGGCTGGTATCCAAGATCTATAAAGAACTTCTCAAACTCAACACCCAAAAAACAAATAATCAAGTCAAAAAATGGGCATAAGACATGAACAGACACTTCTCTGAAGATGACATACAAATGGCTAACAAACACATGAAAAAATGTTCATCATCATTAGCCATCAGGGAAATTCAAATCAAAACCACATTGAGATACAACCTTACACCAGTTAGAATGGCAAAAATTGACAGGGCAAGAAACAACAAATGTTGGAGAGGTTGTGGAGAAAGCGGAACCCTCTTACACTGTTGGTGGGAATGCAAGTTGGTACAGCCACTTTGGAAAAGAGTGTGGAGGTGCTTCAAAAAATTAAAAATAGAGCTACCTTATGACCCAGGAATTGCACTCCTGGGTATTTACTCCAAAGACACAGATGTAATGAAAAGAAGGGCCATATGTACCCCAAAGTTCATAGCAGCAATGTCCGCAATAGCCAAACTGTGGAAAGAGCCGAGATGCCCTTTAACAGATGAATGGATAAAGAAGATGTGGTCCATATATACAATGGAATATTACTCAGCCATCAGAAAGGATGAATACCCAACTTTTGCATCAACATGGATGGGACTGGAGGAGATTATGCTAAGCGAAATAAGTCAAGCAGAGAAAGTCAATTATCATATGGTTTCACTTATTTGTGGAATATAAGGAATAACATGGAGGACATTAGGAGAAGGAAGGGAAAAATGAAGGGGGGGGAATCAGAGGGAGAGATGAACCATGAGAGACTATGGACTCTGAGAAACAAACTGAGGGTTTTAGAGGGGAGGTGGGTGGGGGGATGGGTTAGCCCGGTGATGAGTATTAAGGAGGGCATATAGTGCATGGAGCACTGGGTGTTATACGAAAACAGTGAATCGTGGATCACCACATCAAAAACTAATGATGTGTTGTATGGTGACTAACATAACATAAAAAAATAAAATTAAAAAGTAATAATAAAAAAAGAAAGTACATTTTTCAGAAAATTCCTTGAGAAGGACTCATGGGAACAATATTCCTTGAGTCTTACAATGTTGATACATGTGTCAGGGTCCTTTCTACTCTAAGGTAAGTTTTGCTAGACTTAAAATCTTTAGTTCAAAAAAAAAGAAAAAATCTTTAGCTCATATTTTCTTTCCTTGAGTACCTTAAACACGGCATTCCATTTGCTTCTGGAATAAATCACTGCTGTCAAAAATCTGATGATACAGCGCCTGGGTGGCTCAGTTGGTTAAGCAACTGCCTTCAGCTCAGGTCATGATCCTGGAGTCCCGGGATCGAGTCCCGCATCGGGCTCCCTGCTCGGCGGGGATTCTGCTTCTCCCTCTGACCCTCCCCCCTCTCATGTGCTCTCTCTCTCTCTCTCTCATTCTTGCTCTCTCAAATAAATAAAATTTTTTAAAAATCTGATGATAAACTAATTTTCTTTCCCTTATAAGTAACATGCTCTTTTTACAGAAGTGCCCAAAACACTTTTCATTTTTTTAAACCTAAAAATTTACTAGCATGTGTTTATTCTCCCTCACATTATATGCTCTTCCAATATGTTGTTTCAAATATTTTTCTTTCTCTTTTACAATTTGGGTAGGTTTTCTTAAGTCATAATATTGAGTTTCATTCTGTTTCCTTGTTTTGGTTTTCTTCTTCGGAACTCTCATTAACTTTACATCGGATCTTTTTGCCAATCTGAAATACTTGTAGTGTTTTCTCAAATCCTTGTCTTCTTCATTTCTTTTCTTTATTATTACGTTCAGTTAGCCACTGTATAGTACATAATTAGTTTTTGATGTAGTGTTCAATGATACATTAGTTAAGTATAACACCCAGTGCTCATCACAGCTCGTGCCCATAATACTTAAGATGTTGTACCTTTTTTCAGAATGGCTAAAATCAAAAACACAAGAAACAACAGGGGAGGTGAGGATGTGGAGAAAGGGGAGCCCTCATGTACTGTTGGTGGGAATGCAAACTGGTGCAGCCACTCTGGAAAACAATATGGAGTTTCCTCAAAAAGTTATACAACTACTCTACGTTCCAGAAGTTGCACTACTGGGTATTTATCCAAAAAATACAAAAACACTAATGTAAGGGGATGCATGCACCTCTATGTTTATAGAAGAATTATTTACAATAACCAAACTATGGAAGCAACCCAAGTGTCCATCGACAGATGAATAGAGAAAGAAGATATGGTATAATATAATATATAATGGAATATTATTCAGCCACAAAAAAAAATGAAATCTTGCCATTTGCAATGACATGGATGGAGCTAGAGTGTATTGTGCTAAGTGAAATAAGTCAGTCAGAGGAAGACAAATACCATATCATTTCACTCATATGTGGAATTTAAGAAACAAAACAAATGAGAAAAGGAAAGAAAAAGGAGAGAGACAAACCAAGAAGCCGACTCTTAACTACAGAGAACAAACTGGTAGTTACCAGGGGGGAGGTGGGTGGGGGGATGAAATAGGGGATGGGGGTTAAAGAGTGCATTTATCATGATGAAAAAATAAATACATAAAATAAAATGAAAAAAAATAAAAGAAAAAAGTATGTGTCTTTTTACTTTCTATTTCTGTTAAGGTGTTACTTTGTATGTTCATTTGCTTCTGTGGGCCTTCTAATTTGATAATGCTTTGGTTATTTTTCCTTTTATTTCCAATCCTCTCTTGAGTTTTGTCACCTCATTTCTGAACATACCTCATTCTGATATAAGACATTTTCTTAGTGTTCTATTTCACTTTGAGAAAACATATTCTATTTTTGATTTTTTTTTTTTGAGCATACATTTTGGCATGATTTCATCCATGATTTTGCATGGATTTAAATTTGACACTTTTTGTTGCTCACTGTTACGTGGACTAAATTTTCTAGCACTGCTAGAAGGAGACTTGATGTCATTTCACAGAGCTTCCTCCTCCATTGTTTCCGTGTAGTACCAGAAAACGAACAAAATGAAACAAAAGAAACAGTGGCAGCCTGCTCCCTCAGATCTCCTGGTTCTGTTCTCCTCCACCACTTTGCTCTGGAGCTCCTCCTCCCACGTTCCTTTTGTCCTCTTTTGTTCTGTTTTGAATCCACCCCCAGCAGCTTCTCCTCAGGTAGGACCGTGCTCAGGAAGGGGGCTGGCGTGCTTCAGGGCCCCACATTCCTCCACCAGTGGAATGCTCTTCTCAGACTGGCCTCCCGCGCCTTCCAGTGAATAACGGTTCACTATTTTGTGGCTCTCCTGTCTTCAGGTCCCGTCCCTTCCCTCTGCGGAGATGCCGATACAATGCGGGTGTTGTGGCTTTGGGTGACTGGTTTCTGCTGCCTTCTATTTTAGGGTTTGTGAGAATACCTTGTCACCTAATTCTGAGGGAAATATTGCCCAAGGGTTTTTAGTTTTCATCCCAGTCTCTCTGTCAGTTGTGATGTGGGGATTCAGAAATGTCCAAATACAATACTGCCCCTGCGGCCACCATCTTTCCAGAGTGCTCCTTCTGAAAACTGTCAGATCACGCCACTTCTCAAAAGTCCAGAAATGGGGCTTCTGGGTGGCTTAATTTGTTAAGCTTCAGACTCTTCATTTTGGCTCAGGTCATCATCTCATGGGTCATGATCTCATGGGTTGTGAGATGGAGCCCCACATCGTGGAGTTTGCTTGGGATTCTTTCCCTCTCCTTCCCCCTAAGCTCCTCCCCTCCATTCATGTGCATCCTCTCTCTCTCTCTCAAATAAATAAAATCTTTTTTAAAAAGTCCAGAAATGACTTTTCATTTCACTCAAAGTAAAAGCCGAAGTCTTTACGATGGCTTATGAGGCGCTGTAGGATCAAGGCCTCTCCCTTACTCACTTCCCAGACCCTTTCTCATGCTCTTCTCCTGTCTGAGCTCTCTGCTCCAGCTCCACTAGCATCCTTGCTGTTCTTGAACATGCCACGCATCTTCCCATCTTCTGCCTTTGCTCTAGCAGTTTCCTCTACCTCGATCACTCTTCCTCAGATAGGAACTAACTTAACCACTTCCTTCAAGTCTTTGAAATCTCTTTCTCCATGACATCCAGTCTTACTGCAGCCTCCTCACGGGCACTCCCCATCCCCTTTCCTCCGCTCCACTCTTTCTTCTTTCCAGAGTGTTTCACATCTTCTAACATTAAACATTTCATTATTTTATTATGTTACTATGTATTATCTATCTTCCCTTTGCTAGAATATAAAATCCATGAAAGCAGGAATGTCAAGTCTGTTTTGCTCTTTTATGTCTAATCGAGTGCTCAGAACAACGTTTGGCAGCAGATGTAGCTGCTTAATAAATGCATGGATGAATAAATAAATGAAGCAGCCAGGGGTTCGGCTTGCTCTGAGCCAGAGTTGCCGCCGGGGAGCAACGTAGGGTCCAGGTCACCACCTCCATCGCCCTCCTGCCCTGGTACCTCTGAGTGCCACGGTCTGCAAGCCGATTGAATGAGTACCGAGCACAGCCAGGCAGAGTTTGTCCTTGAGCCTCATGAATTATCAGAAGGCGAGAGGTGTCGGAAACATTCTTTCTAGGACTTCTGAGTTCAGCTCAAGCCAGAAATAGCACCCCAGCCATGTGCCTTCTAGCATTTCAGCACATTTGCTCCTCATCCCACTGGAAGAGCAGAGAAGGCTGGAGGGCAGAAAAAGAGGGACAACACCAGCCCTTTGCAGAGGGGCTCAAAAGTAGGGAAGATGAAGGGAACGCGTGACAGTCTGCCTGCCCCTGGGCACCAGGCCAGGCCCAGCTGCGTGCCGGGCTGTTCTGAAAGCCTGTAACCCGAGTCACCTGTGTCCTTGCCCCTTTCCCTGGAATTCCTGACTGTTATTTACTTGGTGTTCTCCACTTAGTCTCAAGGAACAGACATCACATGGCCCATCTTCTAGCTGTTCCAGCATAACTAACAAAGTCAGGACTGACCCACGCAAGCATGGGGCTCACCGGTCTTACTTTCTAAGCAAACTGGTAGGTCTCAGGCTAGCCGGCTACCCGCACTCCTCTCCTTCCCTAAGAACAAGGAAGCCTAAGGTGGAGGCCATGTTAACAGGGAAGCTCTGCGCAGACTGTCTCTCTGAAACTCTAATTAGTCTTGGAAAATGCTCCCGGACCTTGGATGCCTGAAGGATCATTGCCCAATCAGGAGATTGCAAGCCTATTGCCAGGCCCAAGAAAACAGGTAAGAGGTCAAAACTGAGGCCTTTTCCAGCCCACGCTTAGGATCTCAACTCTTTCCTTTAGTTCTTTTTTTATTCTGCTGGAAACTGCCAACACAGCAACCAAGATTAGCTTCCATACTCTCTCCACGTTGACACAGGTGGACTGTGTCCACGCCTCCCCTGAGCCTTCCCTGCCTTGTCTCCAGGGCAGCTGGAGCAGTTCTTGAAGTGCTTTCTTCTCTTCTTCTGTTCCCTCCTCATTCCCAGTTAGTGGATGCATAGTTCTTAACCAGTAAAAATGAGTGAGCTCCACTTCCATCTACTGAGAATGAGCCAAGAACCCTCAAAGCACAGGAACCTGAAATTCAGATCATCTCTCAAGTTTTCCAAAGCTCCCCTTGAACTTGGACCAAATGTTCAGTGGTCCCCCTGCCCCCACCAGCCACCAGGGGCCCCAACCCGTCTGAGAAAGACACTCCTGGGTACCAGACATAGTACATATGACATCTTACTTATTCCATGTAACCCCCTTAAGATAAACACCATCATGCCCATTATATACATAAGAACACTGAGTTCAGTGTGGTGGAGTGGCTTATGCAAGGTCATGCAACTCGGAAAAGGCCCCATCTGTTTTGACTGCCTTATGGGGTTTTCTAGCCAGCCCGAACAGATGTGTTCTCTGTGTTTAAAGGTGACAAGGACACTCACCTCTGGGTTTCTGAAATGTTATGGAAATAGGATTTCCAGATAGGGAGACCAGGCATCCTGGTGTCCCCAGGAGAGTTCTAATATCCCTGTGTATTATTAACAGTGCTCTTTTTTCAAAATCATCTTTGTTTGGATAATAAGTGACATAGTCCTCCTATCCAAAGGAGCAAAGGAGTGGGAAAACGAAAAAAAAAAAAAATTGCTCAAGAGGTCACCAAGCAGTGGGCATAGAAAGGCCTCAATAGGGCTTTGATGTTCTCAGGGTCTGCCCCACCTCAACTTCTCTTGCCGGCTTTGCCTCAGATGTTGCCTTCCATGCTGCCATACTTCTTCTTGCACAATGCTGGCGCTATGACCTACAGGACAGGAGGAAATGAGATCAGCATGCTGGAGGGTTCTCAGTACCCCAGATGACCCTTCCTGTGGATCCCTACATTACTGAAAATAAACTAAGCCTCTGTGCAGGTGACCCATGTCTTTCCAACCCTAACAGATAAAGGACACGCCTGTGGAGGAGAAATCAGAGGGATCACCAAGGTTCTGAATGTCCTGTAAGGAAGGAAAATAAGAATGTCTTCAACCAAAGCTTTTGCTCCACATTGGGGCTTCGCCAGACACTCTCTTCTATCCCATAGTGAAATGACACAGTGGAATGAGCAGGCATTTAGCAGTCAAAGATCCAAATTGTATTTTAGCTTACCCATTTATGAGTTGGGTGATCTTGGGTAAGTTTGTCAACCTCTCTGAGCTTTAGTTTTCTAATTCATCAGAAAAGTGGGTATAAGAATGCCTACTTTGCAATGCAATTGCAAAATTTCAGATGGGATTATGTGTAAAATGTCCGGCATGTAAGAGGCATTTATTTTATAATTTTTTTAAGATTTGATAGAGAAAGAGAAATCACGAGAGAGCATAAGTAGGGGGAGCAGCAGAGGGAGAGGGAGAAGCGGGTGTCCTGCTGAGCAGGGAACCTGATGTGGGGCTCGATCCCAGGACCCCAGGATCAGGACCTGAGCCGAAGGCAGACGCTTAACTGACTGAGCCCCCCAGGCGTCCCTAAGAGGCATTTATTAACAGTGATGATGATGATGATGTTGAGGATGAGGATGATGATGACTGAATGCAACACAGCAATGCTTATCTCAGGCATAGAGGAAATATTCCAAAGGCATAAACTCCAAAAGGAGTAACCAATAAATATTTGTCAAGCAGTCAGAACTTTTGAGAAGAAAAGGTTCAATTATTTAACCAATTCAAACCAAACTGAGGTTTATTTGACAACTAGTTGTGCCAAATAAGATAATGGATATTGAGGGTTACAGGGATTTATATAAATGAGTTCATGCTCTTCAGGTGCTCACAACCAAATGAAGGGTCCAAGTTAAAGGGGAACATGTGTCCCCACTTTGCCATGATCTCAGGCAGTTTTAAAATACTGTCAGAGCAGAGAGGATGAGACAAACCATTTTGCTTAGCAGGTGCAAGAACCTCACAGAAGAGTAGGCAAGGGAACTGATCCTTCATACCTGGCCAGGATTTCTAGGCATCTGACAGCACGTTTACATTCTAGGCTGAGAAAATTCAGTTCCATTCTTCCCTTGCAAAGAAGACAAGTTGTTTCTCAAAAAGGAGAATGAAGGAGACTCCTTCATACTCCTCTTCCACTTTCTCATATGAAGTCAGTGGCCAAGTGTAAAACTGAATACACATTCTGAGAACCACAGAGACCTGAGATTGAAACAGAGCTTTTGATGCAGAAATTAATCAAGACTTGGATACAAATGCACATCACATATTTAAAAAAAAAAAATGTTTCAACTTCATCGAGTTAACTATGAGACACTTAATGGAAAACAAGGCATTGAATCACAAAATAAATGCACAAAATATGACTTATCAGAGGTAAAAAGATAAACAGTACTTGAGATGTGTCACTGCTGAGAAATATTATCAATCAAGGTCACAGTCTGGAAAGAGGGATTAACAAATTCATTCATTAGCCTTCTGCTTCTACTTCTATTCCCAAACCTTGTTTAAATTAGTCAGCTTCTTGGTTAAATAAACAGATAAGCAATTGGCTCTGGAATAGAAAATGAAACCGAGTCATAATTCAGTCCAATTGCTCTTCTTTAGATATTAACTAGTAGACCATGAGGTGTTTCTATGTCTGCTATTGGCCTTCTTGTCCATTTTTCCTCCTTCTGCCCTGAGTCCGAAGCCATAGTTGTCAAGGTGGGGAGACTGCTCCCCAGGGGACATTTGGCAATGTCTGGAGATGTTTTTGATTGTCACAATGGAACTGGGGGAGCAGAGTACTACTGAGATCTAATAGATGGGGACCAGGCGTGCTGCTAAGTATCCTGCAATGCGCAGGACAGCGCCACAAAGTAAAAGATTATCCAGCCCAATATGTCAATGGTGCTGAGATTGAGAAACTCTGGGCCAAATCTGGGTAAGCCGAGAAAGGCCTTGCAAAGAAAAAACAGAATATGGGATTCAGGAAATTCATAGCTTTCTTAATCATGATAATGTGAGGAGAATATTAATATAAACAGGTACTTAAAACCAAAGCTCTTAAAGCATTTTGAGAGAAGCAATAGGAAAAGGGCTGCTCCTAGCTTCCCAGATCGGAGCCTCCACAGCTGCAGCTCGGGTCCTTCAGTGATTATATTTTATGAACTCCAAACTGAGTGATCAAGGATTTCTTTCTCTTTTCTTTTCTTTTTTTAAAGATTTTATTTATTTATTTGACAGAAAGACACAGCGAGAGAGGGAACACAAGCAGGGGGAGTAGGAGAGGGAGAAGCAGGCTTCCCACCGAGCAGGGAGCGCAATGTGGGGCTCGATCCCAGGATCCTGGGACCATGACCTGAGCCGAAGGCAGACACTTAATGACTGAGCCACCCAGGTGCCCCGAGGATTTCTTTTTCTGATTAGTGAATTTGTTCATATGAAATTCTTAAGCAGTCTGTATCCATACATATATAGCAGTTCCCTTTTATTAAAAAAAACTATACTATGGAAACAGCTTCAATATCCATCAATGGAGGGCTGCTAAAATACATGATGGTACATATATTTATATCAGAGTATCTGTGTATCCAGTAAAAATAATAAAGAAAAACAAAAATGGAAATACGACATGCTGTAAGGGATTTGTGTTAAAATCCTACAACAAAAATTTTTAAAGTAAAAGAATCGATTTAAAAATAGGCAAATTACCAATTGCTGAAGCTGAGTGGAGGTTATATGAGAGGTTAAATTTTCTATACACTAAGTTTTGCGTCACCTGGGTGGCTCAATCGGTTAAGCATCGGACTCTTTGTTTCGGCTCAGGCCATGATCTCAGGGTCGTGAGATCCAGCCCCAAGCCGGGCTCCCCACTCAGCATGGAGTGTGCTTGAGATTTTCTCTCTCTCTCTGCTTCCCTCCCCGCCCGCCCCCCCCGGCTCTCTATCTCTCTCTTTCTAAAATAAATAAATAAAATCTTAAATTTCTTTTTTTTTATACACCAAGTTTTAAATTTCTGTGATAGAAAGAGTCAAAAGTCATCACTGCGAAGCACTCTATGTTCTTAGATGGAAATATCTCGAAGATACAACGTGAATGGAAAGAAGGGAGGGACAGTATGAGAGGGGACACAGTGGGGAAACATTCTTATTTTTACATATGTAAGTAGTTAAGAAATTATAGAATAATACCTAAGAAATTAATGAAAGTGGTTACCTGGGGGCATGGATAGCGGAGTCAGGAACTGGAAAGATGGGGAATCAGGGTGGGAGCAAGACTTTTCAATGTGTGCTTTTTTGGACTTTTGAATTTTTCTGCCACGTGAATTATTCCATATTCAAAAGCTTAAGGAATAGGAAATGCAAGTTCATCAGATAAAAATCTATCTGTTCTAAGAAATGTAGGACATTTCGTTGCCACACTTACATTCCAGCCTTGAAAAGAACTCCTGTTACTTTCACAAATATTATCTCATTTATCTTCACAAAAACCCTGAAAAATTTGAAATGGGCACAGTGGAGTGAGGAAGCAGGAATTATAGTCTGATATAGGCCGGGCACATCATGTGAAATGGGAATCAGGCTTGTTCTCCCTGGTTCTTAGAAGTAGAAAAGAACCAAAGTGTAACATTAGAGAGACAGAGAGAGGAGAGAATCTTAGACTCAACAGAAAGAATTATCTAAGGTCATGTGTCTAAGGAGGCCTCCAAATACATCACTTACCCTGTGTAATCTCCACACAAAATCTTGGTGGAGCATGCAATTCAACAAAAGTTTATTGAGCTTAGGCTGTGCTAGACCCAAAGGGAGACTGGAGTTGAAGATGAAAAAAACCACATTCTTAGATACAGCTATCTCTGTAAGGGAGTGAGAGTTACCTGGCAGTATCTTAAAGGTTTAAAATACCCGCATCCTAAAGCCCAGAAATTTCATTCTATGGTGTCCATATGTGCAAAAAAAGCGTATGCATAGGATAATCTTTGCATCATTGTTTTGCAACAGCCTGAGTTGGATATGACCTATGTGTCCATTAATAGGGATTGGCTAAAAAAAACTATAGTATTATATATCCATATTAGGAAATACCACAAAGCAATTTGGCAAAGGAAAATAAAAGACAATTTGGGAAAGCTACAGATAATAAAAGAATAGATTGCCAAGATACATGGTTGAGTTGAAAACAAAAGAAAAAGGAAGTTGAAGGATGATCCATATCATAAGGTACAAATGAAATGTTAAAAAAAACCCTCCATATTTTCCATGGGGACACATGCATATATGAAATGTGTAAGAAAAGGTCTGAAGGAAAAACAAAGTGATCTGTGTTCACTTCTAGGGATTGGGGAAAGGGATGGTGAAGCGATGGGATCGTCAAAGCTGCCTTTAGCCTTCTCTGTAGTATTTTTAACTTTGACAAAGCAAGTGAATCTATGCATCAGTTGTTTAGTGAAAATAGCTGTCTTCATACTTAAAAGCAGAGAAGAGAAGACAGCATCCTTGCTCAGCAGCTCACAGTCTTTTAAATGATGCATTAAAATATAATTCAATATGATCTGTGCAGCAAATAACAATAGCTAACATTTGTTGAGCTCTTATTATGTACCATGGGCTATCTATTTATTAAATCATTTCATCCTGACCACAACCCTAGAAGTAGGAACAATTATTACCCCTACTTTGCACGTGTGATAACTGAGGCGCTGAGTGACTTGACCAAGCCTATAATGCCAGTGAGTACACAGCAGGGATTCGAACACATGTGCTTCTGACTCCAGAGTCCAGACTCTTAACCTGCATGCGGTCTATGGCAGTACGGCAGGAAATGTTTGTGAACTTGAACGGGGGCCCTCAGGAGGGGCGTACCCATTATGGCAGACAGGGCTACCCACTTACACAATATTCATTTCCCCTTTCTTTTTCACTAAGAGAACTCTGACTTGGTGCTAGGTGTCAGAATTCATTTAAAACTCTCCCAGGCCCCTCTGCACGTATGGGCAGCCGGGTGCTGGCCGGTGAGATGCAAGCTGAGCCTCTTTGCAGGAGAGCCTGTTAAATCGGCCAGTGTCGCTCATAAGGGCCACTTTGGCCTTTTGCCCTTCACCATTGCTCCTTTTTCTTGCCTAGAAGGCAGAAATAATCCTGGAGAGGCAAAAGCCGTCTAAAAGGAGTTTGCTACATTATTTACATCCTGGAACTGTTGCAGAGCCCAGGCACCTACCTCTGACTTCCTGTTGTGTGAGAAACATAAACCTCTTTTAGGTTAAGCCTGAAGTCAGGTTCCATGCTGATGAATGCAGTCTAACGAACGCATGGGGTCTAGAGAGGCTCATCTGGGAGAAAGAACAAAATGCCTGAAAGAACAAAATCCCTCAGCCTCACCTGGCTTTCGAAATATAAGAGATTGGCTGCTTCGCTCCAAGTTCCCCAGGGACCACCAGGCCCAGGGCACGTGCCAGGCACAGCCAGCCATCAGACAGAACGTCAGTCCCCAAAGACACAGGGAAATGCGGAATGGAGCCAGGGGCTCCACGGGGCCTCAGATCCCCCTCAGCAAAAAGCACACAGGGCAGAAGGACAGTCCGCTAGAGCTGAGCACCTGCAACTTGACTCCAGTGTTGAGGGCTATAGATCCCAGTCTACTTATAGCACCAGCAAGTTGTGCAGGAGGGAAGGGCAGGGCTCTGACAGCTGCTTGTTTTGAACCTGCCTGCCTGGGCAGCTCCCAGAACATTTGTTTCAAAAGCAGGCAAGGGTGGAGGGGGGGCGGGGGCGGGGAGGAGCTTGGGGAAAAGAAGAGAAGTACACACCCTGGAAACGGAATAGTGAGGGCTGACTGTCTGAGGATTCTATTCCCCAAGGCAGTGCCCTGAGCCTGACCACCCCCAAGGGGCGGGCTTGTCCAAGGCTCAGCTCCAGCAGAGTTAGAGGCTGTCCGAAAGTCCAAGGGGGACAGAAAAAGAGCCGAAGAAGAGACAGGAGTGTCAGTCACTGACTCTAAGTGGGAGGAGCATTTTGAGAAAGAGTCAAGTGGGTGGAGCTCCTTAGAAAGGCCAGGGAGGATGGGGACATGAGGCAGATGGCCAGGGAGTGTAGGCAGCTGGGTTGACCATCCTTTCCTAACGTCTGTCAATGAAGGAACAAATATGGCAGTAGCTTAACAACACGGTGCAAGGGAGGAAGGGAGGCCTGTCTAGGCAAAGGAAGTAGCTGGTTGGACCGCGGGGGCAAAGCGAGTGGGGATGTTAGACTGGGGCAGGCTGTAGCCATGACCCTCTGCCACTCACCTCCCAGGGTGCCTGTTCTCCCTTTTGGCTGGTAGGGTCCTTCATTCTTTTTGGCTTTTAGGATCTCCCAGAGAATTTGAACTTCAACTAGAAAATCTTAAAACTCAAAACATTTGTCATGTCCAAAGACACAAAGTTATCATGGTAGATACTGAGTGAGGGAGGGTAGTGTAATCCTTTTGTGTGTGATGACTTTTTATTGAAATGACATTTTATTTAAATGGTCATTCAAAGGACTCTACATCGAGCCAGCACTGGATAGAAACTTGAGAGTATTTTCCAATGACTGAAAAGAGGTCAGAAGCCTAGAACTTGAAAGTTAGAAAGGGATCTGGATCACCTAATCCAAAACCCCCTTAATTAACAATGAGAAGAAATGAAGGTCAGAGAAAGGAAGTGAGTCATGCAAGGCACGCAGCTGGTTTGGGGATCATGAAAGCAAATACACAGCACATATAGCAGGAACTTTACACTTGTACATCCATTAATTCCTGTAAGTTTTGCATCCACCCTAGACATAGATATTCTGACAGGCAAAGTAATTCAGCTGAGGTCACACAGAGACAGTCAAGAGAAGAGCTGGGATTTGAACACACATAATCTTGCTCCAGAGACTCTGTCCTCTTGACCGCTTCTTTTGATTCCCTTGCGTCCCTCAGCAACCTTTTCTCCACTCTCCCAAGCTACCTCCACAGTGCCCCACCCCTCTACTTCCCTCCCATTCCCTCACCCTACCCCTTCCTTTCAATGTCCACAGAAGTCCCCACCTTGCTCCCAGCCTCTGATGGGGGCAGGGAAGGAGGATGGTTTTCTCCGTTGTGAAAACAATGGTGAAGGGAGAATAAAAAGGACCTACCTGGCCACCATGGAGACCGGAAAGGGGCTGAGGCACAAGCCAAAGAGGATCAGGGTCTACAGCCCCTCCTGGGTGTAAGGGGTGAACTGGCCTTCCTTTGGACCACTTGTAGGGTAGAGCATGGAGACTTGGTGAGGTGGGGAAGATGACCCCCAGGAGGTGGTATGAAAAATTCTGATCATAGGCATTTTTTATCATCCCATCCACATCAATGCAAAAGCTGATCTAGAATGAACCAGACTCTTGTTGTTGCCCTTTCCCGTATCTCCTAGGATCCGGGGAAATACAGCTATGATACAGAGGCCAGAGCACTGGGGATGGAGTTAGGAAACTAGGGTTCAAATTTTGCCTCTGCCTCTTAACTGGCTGTGTGGCCTTAAGCAAATCACATTACTTCCTGGAATCTCACCTTCTTTATCTCTTATGTAAGAGTAACCTACCTCTCCCATAGCGGTGAGAATCAGATGGAAACTAGCTGCAAGCAAGTGCTTGCCTAGCTCAAGCTTGGCAAGTAGCCTTTGCAGACTGCCAAATCAGGAACACCAGAGCAATGGCAGGACTCTCAGATGGAAGATCTTAGAGGTAGAATCTGGTAGAAAGAGAGCCTTGGGCTATTTGATTTAAAGCTAGATTTGCAGAGCAAATACAGGGCTGTTTTTTTTTTTCTTTAGTTTTGTTTTACTTTGAATTCAAAATTCTGTTTTGTCATAAAATAAGCTTCCCTATTAAGAA